AAGGGTCAAGAAATTTATGGGAAGACTGTCTTTATGAAAGGAGCCACCGGTACTATGATGCAGTCTTTTAAGAAATCTCGGGTAAGATTAGACAAGAAGTTTGTTGTAACAAGGCAAGCAACAAATAGGTTCGTTCCTATTTGTCACTATTGTAATTTGCCTGGCCACATTAGACCTAGATGTTACAAATACTTGAATGCTTTAAAAAGAGGTATGATTATTAATCCATCAAATTCCGCATTCACAAGAAGGACACCTAAAGCAAAGATTGATGTGCAAAATAAATTTTCTCGACATGTGTGGGTAAGGAAATCTGATTTAAGGTGTCTTGGGGCTTATACTTCTTTTAGAGCATGTACTAATAAATTTGAGTATTGTGATAATGGTCACTTCAAGTTTTTGATAGGTGATAAAAGCAATATGCATCGGAGAATACCATATTCAGGGGGAGTATGACTTGTGGAGGATTCAGGGGGAGCAATTTGTAGGAAGGTGTTGCTCATTTTCTAGAATGTTTGGCTTATTTTTGTCAAAAAGGGGGAGTAAGTAGTCTGGAAACTTGATTGGTGCAAAAAGTATTGTGTTTTAGTTGCTATTATTAGTTTTGCCAAAACAATGCCAAAGACGGAGATTGTTGGGATTTGTTTCCCAATTTGTGTATTGATTGTAATCGGATTTGATTGGCATTATTTTGGGAATGTTTTGCTGGGATGATTACGTTTGGAAATGTCTATGCAGCTGGCAAGTTTCTTTTGGTAGGTTTCAAAAAATTCATAAACTTGTTTTAGTTTCTATTTTTCTAAGTCAACCATTGATTCAAAGATAGAAAATTGATTTGATTGATTCTTAATTGAGATTTCATAGCTGGATGATCTTCCTATGTTGCCTAAGAATGTGTCCAGGTTCGTTTATCAGTTTTGGGAAGATTTCAGAATTAAAGAAGATTGATTCGTCTAGTTTTGAGAAAGTTGGCCGTAACAGCTGTGTTGCAACATGATCTGCAACAGATGTAGTTCAGCGAATTAATTGAAGATGTGTCAAGCTATTCACAGCTTGCTTATTTATTGAAAGAGTCTCTGGAGTAATTGTACGCCTCTTGATGAGTTTTTACTGGGTTGTGAGACAGGGGTGAGCACTTGTATTGAGTGAGATGATTTGAGTGTTTTTCGGGAGAAAAACTTTGTTGGAGGGATTCCAATGTTAAAAAGTCGAGGGGATCTCGCTGTTCAAGTCTATTAGGAAATTGCAAGTTCATAGGCGTCCTCTTAGAGAGAGAGTCTCGGGTAGATTAAGTCTAATTGAATTGTAAAAGAGTTCTTAGTGGATTGTTCATCATCTGGGCGTGACCCCGCGGAGTAGGGTGTTACCGAACCGCGATACCATTTCTCTCGTGTTCTTTTATTTTATGTCTCTACATTATTCATATTGTCTTATAAATTATTAAAAGACTAAAACCGGTACTAACAGGTTTGAACAAAAAAGTTGAAATGAACTATAATTTCTCAAATATTTTTGGAGAATAATAATATTATATTTTGGTAATCCCTTCTTATGGTGAATTATGCAGATAAAACAGTTTGAACATTTGATTAAAAATATGTGAAACAAGCACCAACGTGTGGAGCTGGGTTTTTTTTTATTAAAAAAATAATTAACCGTTAATAGGAAGCTTTAAGTGGAGAAGCCGACAAAAAAGGGGACAATTAAGAGGACAAAATCCTAATTAAGATGAATGTGGGTGATAAGGTATCCTCTGCTTTCTATTTTCAAATTTTGTGGCCGAAAGTATATTGGAAATGTTCGTAAACAATGGATCTGATTCCCACGCTTTTCAATGTCCAAAATTAACAAATTAGGCACATTGGAATAATCCATTTTTCTACCGAAATAAAAATCTAAAAGCAATATTTAAGAACGAGTACAAATAAGTGATAACTTTCTTTTATTTGGCTTAATTATATGGTTTAAAAAAAAATTCTCTAAGATATTCATCTCATAATATTGCAAACTACATCTGAAGAAGAAAAAGAAAACTTTTGCATAATCATTAATTCATTATCCTATTGCTTGTCCATGATTTTGTTTTAAAATGAGACTGTGTTTAATAAAAGGTCTATGACTCTAGAACATAGCAACATGGTCAAATATGCTTAATTTGATTGCCTAGTGATTTAGGTTACATTTAAGGAATTTATTCCCTCATTGGTTTAACATAATCGGGTTTTAATTTTTAATTTTATTTTTTGTCTTTTATTTATTTATTTTTTCATGGAGCGTCCGCTCAATAGTAAAATTAGAGTTTATACCACATTTTATTTTAAAAATGTAAGGATTAATCTCACAAATGGTAAGGTTCCCATTTTAATCCTGACTTTAAAAACATCTCACAATTAATCCTGATGTTTTACTATGTTTTAGTTTCAGTCTTTTCGTTAATTAGGTGTCAAATATTTGATGAAATATGTGAAAACTAAGGATCAAAATTAAAAACATATAAAGTTTAACAGTTAAAATAATATAAAAAATAAAAGTTAATTTTCACAAATAGTATCTAAATTTTATCTGTTTTTAATTTTGGTCATTAATTTACATAAATTTCGTTAAATAATAACACATATTTAATAGAATAACTGAAACTGAAATAAAGTAAAATTTTAAAAACGTTTTAAAATTCAAATCTCAAAGTGTATTGAGGGTAAACCTCAAGATTATTTGTAGGAGTAACCTAAAATGTAATGTTATAAAGATGCTCTTTTGACTGAAAATTATGCGCTTGACTTTACCTGCTTAGGAAGCCATCTAGAACCTGTTGCCTTTATGTTATTCTTATGTTTGAATCTTACACAAAAAAATTATTCAATGACGAACACTTGTTAGAATTGCCTAGTAAATGACTAGAAAGAGAGGAAAACAACAAAAGAATATATATGAATAAAAAAAATTTATAATAATTAATGAGATTAAATTCTTATTACGCCACATTATTACATTTTTATGTTTAACGTGTAATCACAGAAACTCGTCCTAATAAATATTACAAACACACAGACATGTATATAGGTTAAGGACAAAAAAAAAAAAAAAAGAGTTGAAGAGGTCTTTGAGCTTAGGACCATCATTGTATCTGGGGATATTTATCTTTTTATATTAGATATTTTAGGTTTATTTAAAATCTATAACTTTTAGTTTTTGATCTTATCAAATGTCAAATTAAATTTAATATATAAATTCATACCTTATTTCTGTTAACAACCGATTTTAGCCTTTAAAATGATCATATTATCTTTAAGAAAAAGAGAAAATTTTTTTTTCCCTATTTTACAAAAAATAAAAATTAAAAACACAAAAAAATCCATTTCAATGGTATTTTACCTTTTTTTGAACGGGCATACTTTTTTTAGGTCAAAACCATACGTTTAAATTTTATTTAGTTTTTTTCTTTTTTATTTTTCATTTAAGGTATTTTCAAAATAAAATAAAAAATATACTATGAAAAGTATAAATACAAGTATTAAATCTAATTTAAAAGTATACATTTGATGAAATAAAATAATTGAAGATATATTTTTGAATGAACTGAAAATATAAGGTTTAAAACTATAATACATAGAATACTAAAACTATAATTTAGAAGTTAGTACGTTGTAAATAGTGACTTGCTTGAGGAAATTAGTTAATAGCTATTCACTCTTAGAAATCAATAATTTCTAAATAGGGGAACTAAGATCTTTTAAAATAAGGGGAGATAACTCAAGACTTAAGATAAAAATATATACTCTTTTTCTGAAAAAAAAAAAAAAAGTTACGACATGCAGCATAATCTTAGTTACTAGTAAGGTTATGTTGAGGTACAATATGAATGTAGAGCCGGTTTAGTTTACTGATTCAAGTTTTTAATTTTAGTTGAGATGTGACTTATTGTAATAAAAAAGTTAGATGTTACTGTTTTTGAGAGCTTTTTATTGTAGCAAAACTCAAATTCTAAACTCGAATCGGTAAAATGAATGAGGCCGTAATAAAACATAAGATGTTATAATTGTTATTATTATTATTACGCATTGTTCTTATTTCTAACACATTTTTAGATATCTTTATATTTCAATTTACACGACACGAAAGAAATGTGGGTGATTTATCGTATATAGTAAAATTTTGATATAACAGTTTAAATTTAACAAAAAATTTTGAAATACTATAAAAATTGTATATCATTTTTATGTCATCAAAAAAATGATTATATCATTATATAGTACAAAAATATGATATCATAATGATTATTATTATGTCATTTTTATTATATTTATAATATTTTAAAAATTATGCTAAATTTTAATTCAAGTGTTGGAGCAAATAACCTTAGAAGAATAACAAGAACAATAAAAGCAAAGTGAAGACAATTATATTAAAAAATGAGTGTCTTTTCCTTTCAAATTGAGGAAATTTATAATATATTGGGGATTGATCCTCTTATTAATTTGAGAGTTGATTATCTCTTTAATACAATAAGGCTTTTCACTTTTTTAGGTGTTACAAATAATTAATAAACGAATTAAATTTGAGTCATTGAATGTCTTTAGTTGTCGATTGTTAATTGATATTGAAACTTAATAACTCTTAATCTTCTAATTTCTTCCCTACCTGATCATACGCTCGAATAATTATCCTAGCGCACGCTCAGATAATTATCCTAAGGTACGCTCGGGTGGTTTTCTTAGCGTACGCTCGGATTGTCCGAAACTTATTACATTTTCTACTAGCTTCGAAAAATCCATCCAACATCAAGTACGAAATTTTGCTAGTACTGTAATTACTTCAAGAGGGAAATGTGGTGATTTGCGAACATGGGAAACTAGGCCGACTATCATCAGATCCAACTGAGCCCAAATTCGGCCCAGTCGGAAGGCCTAGTTTGTGATCCAATTAACAAAGCCCAAGCTAACGGTTTTCCGTTTCCGTTTCCGCTCCGCTTGCATCCTGCGACAAAAAGTTCTCCCGGTTTTTAGGGTTTTAACAATCTTTCTCCAAAAATCCCCAATTTTGTTTGACCAAAATCATGTCTCTCCGTTCAATTTCTCGGATCCTATCATCCCCAAATCGCTTCCTAAACCCCCAATTCTCGACCATTAGATTCGCTATCACTTCATCCGCGGACAAAATCTTCGATCACCTGAACAAAAATGGCGGCAACATAGAGAAAACCCTAGCCACAATCAAGCCCAAACTGGATCCCAAATTCGTGAGCGACGTCTTATTCAAATGCCATCCGAGCCAATCTCAAATGGGTATCAGGTTTTTCATCTGGGCTGGTCTCCAATCGGATTATAGACACTCTTATTTTATGTATGGAAAAGCTTGTAAATTGTTTGAAATTAGTCAAAATCCTAAACTTATTTCTGATATTATTGAGGCTTATAGGGATGAGAAGTGTTTTGTTACTGTTAAAACGTTTAAGGTTGTTTTGAATTTGTGTAAAGAAGCCAAACTAGCTGATGAGGCCTTGTGGGTGTTGAGGAAAATGCCTGAATTTAACTTATTTCCTGATACAACAATGTATAATTCTGTTATAAGGTTGTTTTGTTTGAAGGGTGATATGAATACTGCTGAGAGTTTGATGAAAGAGATGGGGTTGGTTGATCTTTATCCGGATATGATCACGTATGTAGAAATGGTTAAAGGGTTTTGCAATGTGGGTCGGTTGGATGATGCTTTTGGGTTGTTTAAGGTTGTGAAAGAACTGGATTGTGGAAATAATACGGTTTTATGCTCGGCTCTGCTTGATGGGGTATGTAAGAGTGGGGATATGGAGAGAGCTTTGGAGTTGTTAGAGGAGATGGAGAAAGGAGGTGGGGAAGTTAGTCCCAATGTAGTGGCGTACACGTCGGTTATCCAGAGGTTTTGTGAGAAAGGTCGGACGTCAGAGGCATTGGAGGTTCTGGATCGAATGGAAGCTTGGGGTTGCTTTCCGAATCGTGTTACAGTTAGTTGTTTGATTGAGCGGTTTTGTGCAGAGGGTCGAGTTGAGGAGGTTTCTAAGTTGATTGATAGGGTTGTCAAAGGGGGTGTCTCTTATGATGAATGTTGTAGTTCTTTTGTGGTGTCTCTGAAAAGAACTGGGCAATTTGAGGAGGCTGAGAAAGTGTTTCGGAAGATGATAAATAATGGGTTGAAACCAGATAGTTTGGCGTGTACCATTGTTATAAAGGAGCTTTGTTTGATTGGGAGAGTCTTGGATGGATATCAGTTGTGTGATGAGATTGAGAAGATCGGCTTCTGGTCTTCCATTGATTCTGATGTTTACTCACTTCTTATAGTGGGGCTTTGCCAACAGGGACATTTGGTTGAGGCTGCAAATCTTGTGAGTTTAATGCTCAAGAAAGGAATTCAACTGAGCGCTCCTTATGTTGACAGGATAGTTGAAATCCTAAAGAAATCCGGAGATGAGGAGCTTATTCACCATTTAACCAGGATTTGTAGGTGACCCTTAAAAATGTTACGTTTCTTCTGTTTGGAGAGCTCTTATCTGATGATTTGGAAACAGATAGCAATTACTTATCGAGCTGAGTTTCTCAATTCATTTCACTGACGCAAACATAAAGAACATGTTCTTGTTTCAATTGTAAACAAAGTATGAATCTTTGAATTCGAAGTGAATGGCGGCACTTACTCATCCAGGTTTATTTCGAAGAATGGCGGCTGAAGCCATGCCATTTTCAGGTTATTGAATTGCATTCCATACGTTTATTGAATTGCCTAATTAGTGAGATATCAAAGCATCCCATATGTTTATTGAATTGCATTCAATTTTAGACCTTGCATTTTTAGGTTATTTAAAAAAAATTATACCTTGTATTTTGAACTATTTCATTTTTTTTATGGTCAAAATTTACCATTGACTGAGAGGTAATAATTGAGCATAAATTCAAAATCTGGAGAAATAACTACGAAAAAATTCAAAATACAAGGTATGAGAGAGAGAGAGAGAGAGAGAGAGAGAGAGAGAGAGAGAGAGAGAGAGAAGACCGAAGACCCCTATTTGTATGCTGGATGTGTCATGTTGGTATTTGCTGAATTATTGGCCATTCATGAAGGTCTCTGCGCCTAATCTATTTGGATAGAAACAACTTGAAATGGAACATTACTTTAGTAATGTCCAGTTCTGGTAAAACTGAAATTCTGCTGAGAGAGTACAACTTATAAGATATGGCAAAGGAGGAAACATATATAATTTTTCATACGAAGGGAAACAAAGCAAGTTCAAACGCATCAAACGGTTTGTCTTTCATGTTCCTTACCCTTTGACTTTTTTCTATAGTGTCTTTGTTAATAAGTTATTGAATTTTATCTCTATGTTTGGGTTTGCTAAAGGCATTCATTTATTTTTGTGAGAAAAGTGCATTTATACATGCCTATTATTTATGTTATTCTAAATAATTAAGTACTATTGTCGTTTTTTGTTTTTTTCTATTAATTAAATGACAATTATTAATTTTTAAGAGGAGTGACATAAATAATATTTTTTTACCATTTTGAGTGGTATTTCTAGTTTTTCCCTTTCATAATTCTATTTCGGGATATCAAAGCATCCCATATGCAAACAATGATGGGAAGCTACTTGCAGGCTGCGGCCATGGGTGTGCCCTGTCGATTATCGCTCCAGTAATTGATGAATATTTTGTTTCCAGCCAAAAAAAAAAAAAAAGATGAATATTAATATTTGGTTTCTTCGCATACTACCATTGGCCATTGACTATGCATGAATAATCAGTCTTGGTAATGCTTTTCTTGATGAAACATTAGTAGTTTTCTTGGCAAAATTCTACGCTGGCGACCGGCGTATGAAAAATATCGTACCAATAAGATAGTTTTGAATCTAATTCTCATTTTTCTGTGTGCAATATCACGGGCACAAGTATGTGTCTTGTGGGCCGGGGCTACATGAATTTTGGTTGATAATTACACCATATGGCTAATTTCATACATTGATTTAAAATTTAGTAAAATTTTTATAATATTATAAATGTAGTAAAAATGACAGTCATTATCATAATGATATCACATTTTGTATTATGTAATGGTATAGTCATTATTTTAATGATATCAAAATATTGTTATTTCTGCAATATTTTAAAAATTTTGTAATATTTAAACTTTGCCATTAAAATTTTGCTAGATGCGTAAGGACTCTGAATTTTGGGGTTTCTTTCATGTGTTGTGGGGGTCTGCACTTGTGTGTTTTCTTAGGATAAGAGATGCACTTCAAAATACATTTGTCTTTTCTTACAATATAAGACATGCTCTTTTAATGCATTCCGATCTTTCGCTCTTTCTTTTTCTAAAAAGGAATTTTTACAGTGAGGTCTATATTTTTTACCTGTAGGATCCGTTGTGTTAATTATTGGATTAATTTTTTAATAATTGGATCTATGATTGGAAATATTTTTATGTCAGTGTTATAAATTTTTAATGTGGATACTTACAAATCTTGCTGTCAAAAAAAAAATGAATAATTAAAACAATAATTCTACCGACAGAGAAAAAGGGTTTTCTTTACAGTAAAAATTGCATTTGAAAATGCACTTGTAGTAGTGCCTCTAGATTTACCCTGAAGACATAAAAATGAATAATATAATTGCACCATCAATGAGTCCACAAGAAAAAAGCATATGACCATAAACAAGAATCAAACAAGGAGCAAAGAGTATTTGACCTTTTACTTTATATCCTTTCCTTGCAACATCACTTGCCACAAGAATTCTGGCTGTGAATAAATGGACGGTGGTGATATTGACTAAAATGAACATCTCAACATCAATTTATAGTTGGTAGTTGGCTTCTTTAAATAGTTGCATCAATAATGTTACCCTTCATCGAAGGTAGTTGGACATTTCTTGCGTATATTTCTTCAATTTTCAATAAAATATTTGAAATGTTAAACTTGCTGTGAGTATTAATTGGGATTTTAGCATTAATTATTTTGTCATGGATAGCGTCCCACCTATATTCCTATGCTTTTTAAGTTTTTTAAGTTATGGAAACCACTTAATTTAAATCCATATGTACGGAAAAAATATAATTTTATATTTTATATTTTATAAAAAAAAATTGACGAATGAGCAAAAGAAACATATCTGGTATTCAACATATGTGTGTGAATACCAAGACCCCATATATTAACAAAAAAAAAAAAAATGCATATCACTTTGTTTATTTTTTGTTGACTCTCGCTCTTTGAGCTTCATTGTGTTCTTTTTACAGCTTCGTTTACTTCACCGATTCGAGTTTATAATTTGAGTTTTGTTACAATAAAAAATTCTCAGAAACAATCATATCTAATTTTTTTACTACAATAAAAAGCTCTCACATAAAATCGCATCTCAATTCGAATTACAAACTCGAATCAGCGAAGTGAACAGGCCCTACACCTCTCTCTTCTCTGATATAGGGCTAGAGTTTGGCGCCATCCTTGGTTGGCTGCTGATCCTCCGGCCCTAAATGGAACTCTGGGTCCCATAGAGATGATCATGGTAGTGGTGGCAACTTCATGGGTAGAAAGGATGGATGGGAGGGGTCGAGTTTTGGGCCCACCATGTCGTGTGCGTCGGATTTTTAATGTTCCTACAACCTTGGGTTATCGCTCTCTCCGTGATGGTCATTGACTGGGAGTTATGCGTGGATGGGCGTTCAATGTCAGTGGTGGAGTTGTGTGGGTCTTTATAAATTTATATTCTATGGTCATGTTGGCCAATTTATCACCAGTGATCTTTGTTCTTGTGGCTTGATACCTTTATTTTGTTTTTAGTTTTTATTTGAATTTAATAAAAGCAATGTTGATTCAACTATTTCTACGTCTTTTTGTGTTTTGTAGTGTCTATAGTTTCGTTGTGTACTAACGAAAGAAATTGCCTCACCCTTCTATGATTGTGGTTGATTTAGTTTAGTAGGTTTGATCCTATGTGGTGCTCTAAGTGACCCTAGTGCTATGAGTTTTTTGATCTCAATCGACTAGGCTTATTTATCGACCATAGTGGTTTGTTGAGCTCAATCGACTAGGCCTATTTATCAACTAGACGAACGCGAGTTTTTATCGCGCTCGATTATTAATGTATTGAGCAAGTCTTTCTTTACTGGATCTCAGTACTCGTGTTCATCTCTGCGTCTCATTTGTCTTTACTGGTGGGTCCAGTCTTTATCTGTGGTTAAATATCATTATATTTATTGGTTATTTAAAACTATATTAGAGCATATATTTATTTATTATTGAATGAACGGGTTTCTTAAAAAATAAATAAAAATGCATATCTGATTATACCCACACTTATTACACACGCTACGACAAACAACATGTCAGAAAAGGTTAAAAAATTAGAGTACTTTAACAAAATAGAACCTACTTGATCTAAAAGTGAGTTTACTTCAGAGATCAACCAGTCCGATTTTTGGTATAACGATTCAGTATAAGGACTTGTAGAAAAAGAAGAAAGTCTAAAGACCTCTTATGAATTGAATTATTATTTTTAAACAGTATGAAGTTTATGACTCAAGGTTTATAATAAGAAATGACCACCAAAATTCAAATCTCCACACGCTCATATACACACACCCAAATTACTGAAGAAGCGTTAAGTGGCTTCAGACAGTATTTGCTTTGAACAGTGATATAATGCATTATTAAACTTAGCTAATTTGTAATTAAAATGAGTGTGCGTTTGATTTTTGGATTCGTGTCATGGTTCAGATCATGATTCGTGGCACGCTACAATATTTTCTCTCACAAAAAATACACGTAAATTAAGAATAATTCTAAATCATGATTTTAAATCACGATCTCTTTCCTTGCATTTGGACAGTTTGTTGAGACGAGGAAGCTTACCGCTTTCTATGTGTATTTGTCAATTTCCTTCACTAATTAATGCAAATGCACTATTTGTAACTTAAAGTTTGTAGTTTCGATATTACATGATCACAATAATGCATTGTCTATTCTTGTGCAACTTAGCGAAAAAAATCTACCCAAAAAAAATAAAATATCTCGGTGGTAAGACAACATCGAGTCCTACTCCCACTAGAAAGATTTTTATCTCTTTATATTTCTTTTAATAATGAGATTTATGAGTATTACGATACTTTTGTACCGGATGTTTTGATAAAGAACATTTCTATTCATTTTTATGGGATTAAAATTCTGTGAGTACTACCTTTTTATAAGAGGTTATTTATCATTTCCTATCTTGTATTTAGGTTTATTTAAAAAGTATATTTTTTATTTTTGATATCATCAAAAGTAATATCTTTAGATTTCATTTAACATATAAATTCATGTCTTATACCGGTCATTTTAATTTTGACCTTAAAAATAACCAAAGTACCCTTAAAAATAACAAATAAAACTCTTTAAGAACTTTTCAAAAAAAATGAGAAGAGAAAAAATTATTTTTTTAATATTTTCTATTTTTATATTTTTTTGAAGATTTTATTATTATTATTATTATTATTTTTTTTTTTTTGGTATTTAAGGGTACCATGAATGAATTTCCCAGTTGTTCCTTAAAAAAAAATTTTTTTTAAGTCAACATTAAGTGTTAACGGTAAAAGATATCATTTTGTATCTTAAATGAAATTTGAAGATATACATGAATTAAAAAAAGATAAAAAACTATACTTTTTGAGTAAAAGATGAATAATGCTTTTTATGAATTATGAGTGATAGGTATTTATCTCTATAGGGGTGACCAATTTTGTTTTTGACAAACTACTTCTTAAATTTTTAATAGCCTTGGTTTATAACTATATAATTGATGAGAATTTCGATTATTTTACCGAAGTAATTATTTACTTATCGTGTGACGACTTGAAAGTTTACAAAAATAAATATTCAGTACAAAATATTGTTTTTCCATCAAAAGTTCACTTTGTTACCACTAAAATCCTAAAAAATAAAAATGTAAAAAAAAAAAAAAACCTTAAAAGCAAAAAAGATAAAGGTGAAATCTCATTTTAGAGGTTTCTAGTGAGAGAGAGTTCAGAGAGATTTTACGGTAGGGGGATGTACTTTCCCCCTACAGTAAGGGACAAATAAAGACCCCAACATCAAAATCTCGCGGTACAAAATGATAGAAGGAATACCAAACAACAATAAAACCTCACACATGTGATTATTTCTATATTTGCTCCATTCAAAAACAAGAAACAAGAACACCGATCAGCCCATCGGCCACCACGCCCCACCACCACATCGGATCTCGCCCTCCGCGCTCTCACTGTCGTCAGATCACCCCGGCGACCCTCTGGTCGTCAAACGAATGGAGCTCAGCCGCGAACCTCGGAGTGGACGGAGCTCGGATGGGTCACGGACCACGCCATCGATTACCTCCTCCACATCGCGAATCACGCTCAGGCGTTGTCGGTCGGAGTTGAAGAAGAAGAAAGAAAGACCGGTGCTCGCTCATTTGGTTCTTTAAGTGCCCAACTCTACCGGAAAGATCAGATCTTTTTTTTTTTTTTTTTAGATTTTGTCCAAGGAATTATGTGAAATTTCTTTGATTGTTTGGGTTCGTATAATTTTTGTCCCGTGAAGTATGTCTGATGAAGATTAGATGAGAAAATTTTGTAATTTTTGTGAATCGTTCAGATTTTTGTAAGGGCTTGACCTACATTGATTTCTGGAAATTAAAGAAATTTTCTCACTCTCTCTCTCTCTCTCTCTGTGAGTTTGATTTTTGTTTGTTGAATATGATTTGGCTGTTTGGATCATGGGAACAATTCTGATCGTAGTCTTTTTGCTTTGTTTGGCTGTTTGGATGTTTGAGTCGAGGCCTTTGATTTTAGCGGTGTTTAGATTCTGCCTGTGATGAAAAGCACGCCGGAGGTAGTGGAGGAGTTCGCCGGCGATGAGTGGTGGAAGTAGACAGTAGAGAAGATCGTTTTTTAAGATCTGCTTTTTTATTTTTATTTTTAGAATAAATATTGTAATCTAGTGTAGAAGGTTTTAGTTTAATTTGGTACTCTTTCATCTATTTCTACCACATGATTCAGTTCTAATGGCTCTTATAAATTACCTTACCGATAGGGGGAAAGGACACCCCCTACCATACACTTTTTCAGGAAAAGAAAAAACAAAACTGTCAGAAAGAAATCCAAATTCCTTCCTTCAAAAAGAAAAAGGGGAAAAAAAAAATCCAAATTCCTTAAATTCCATCACTTATCCACGTGTATCATTATGCATCGACTTTGACGTTTTAGCCAAAAAAAAAATAAAAAATAAAATGCAGCGACTTTGACGCCCCTTATCTGACCGTCATGTGACTTGACCCCACCTATCCCATCCACCCAAAATTTCACGACGTCACGTTTCATTTTTCTTTTCCTTTTTTCAATTTCATTTATTTTTGTATTTCCCAATTCTCTCTCTCTCCCACTGTCTCTCCAATTTCCATTGTTGAGCCAAAACGTGAAGTTAGTCGAATCTCGAGGCTTTCCTCTTTTTGAAGCAATTCTTTGTTCTAGGGTTTTCCCAAATTTCAAATCTCATCAATCAGATTCTCCATTTCATCCCCAAATCACTTCCATCTTTCTTCCGCACTTCTCGGCCTTCGCCGATCTCCGCCTCCGATCGACAAGAACATGCTGGCGATTGCTCGGGGAAATTTCAGTTTCTGTATTCTCTGGTCGAATTTGTTCCCGATTCTTTGTTCCTCGATCTGTTATGGAAATTCTAGGGTTTCTCCTTTAATTCCATAAATTTTTTGCTGTAAAAGCGAAAAATTAGGGTTTTATTTTTTCGTGTGTAAATATTGGGGATTTTCTATTGTACGTATAATACTTTTCGTTCGCTTGGTTTGAATTGAGATGTATATTGAGGAATTGAAGGGAGGCGGGGAAGCGGAAGGCGGTGAAGAAAGGAATTCATTGGCTGGTGATGGTGGTGGTGATTGCAGTAGCGGAAACATTGTCGTTTTTGATACCAAAAGGGTTTTGATTGGGGCTGGGGCTCGCGCGCTTTTTTACCCGACTCTGCTCTACAATGTCGTTAGGAATAAAATTCAGGCTGATTTCCGGTGGTGGGATAAGATTGACGAGGTATACTATCTTCTCTCTCTGTCTCTCTGTTTTTTTTTTTACTTATCTATTATCATTATTTTTATTATTATTTTTGCGTTTAGGTGATCTGGGATGTGTTTAATTTTGGATAGATTTAAGACTTATTATTGATTGTATTACCAGATCATGGATTGAGAATGGAATGTTTATACGTAGCTCTGAAATGATTGGATTGGATCTTATTCATAACCAAAATTTTTTTAATTTTTAATTTGTTTTTTGAATTTGTTGTTGATTTTTTTTTTTCATTCAGTTTGTACTATTAGGTGCTGTCCCATTCCCTGTTGATGTTCCCTGCCTAAAGAAGCTTGGAGTTCATGGAGTTGTCACTCTTAACGAACCATATGAGACCTTGGTTCCCACGTCTCTATATCATGTGAGCCTTTTTTTACGGTCTATTGTAATTTGTAGTATGCTCTCCGGGTTTCTTCGTGTTGTTTTAATTCTAGTTTGGGTTTAGGTCCTTTTTTTTAACGCATTATTGATGATTACTTTGGCAGGCTCATGGCATTGATCATCTGGTGATCCCAACAAGAGACTATTATTTTGCACCGTCGCTCAGTGATATATCCCATGCTGTAGATTTTATGCATGGTATGCAGATTTTATTTTTTATTTTTCAACTTGCTTCCTATTTTTTGCGATCTTGGAAAGAGACCCAATATTTTATATTTTGGCATAAATCTCCAGGAATTTGGGAAATAAGTGGCTTCTGTTTTTCTATCGCTAGTCCAGTAAGAATTCTAAAAATTTGGTTCTTATTACTTATGCGAAATCGAAATTCTTTAATATAGGAGGACTCGGGTTTCAGAGATGATCATTGTTGACAACTTTAGATCCCGAAATGCCATAGATTCTAAAAGAATGGGGAGAGGATCTGTTTTTATGTAAAATGCATGAGGTTTTTTTTTTTTTTTTTTTTTTTTTTTTTTTTTTTTTTTTTTAAATGTTCAAGCCCCTATTACTCTGGGCCAAATGTTAGACTTTTATGACTAGAGCTCGTATAAATGTTTTTTTTTTTTTGATTTGTTTTGTTGGATGACTATATAGATGATAACACCTGCAAATTTAAATATTTGTTCTCGGTTCACGCTTGTTGTGAAATCTTCAAGTTGTTTTGAGCTTGCTATTTAAGAAATATGTTTAATCTAATTTATATACTCATAGAAAATGCATCATGTGGACGCACTACTTATGTTCACTGTAAAGCTGGTCGGGGACGCAGCACAACTGTTGTTATTTGTTATCTGGTAAGTATCATGTCACGTTCTTATATCATGGTAATTAAATTTGATGTCATCCAGTTTTTTCTGAGATTGTGTTTTGTACAGATGCGATACAAGCAGATGACACCTGATTCTGCTTATGATTATGTGAAGTCGATTCGGCCAAGAGTGCTTTTAGCCTCTTCTCAGTGGCAGGTAGCTAACATTAGATCTTTTCGGGTCCTTTCAACCTTTCATCATGTTCTGTCAGCTGTTTCGCTTTTATATATGCTATGGCCTTATGGTAGATTGTAGTTCCATCAGCACGCATCTAAATAGGCAAGATGTTGGTTAATTTATTTGTTAGATCAGGAAGTACTATTCTGAGGATTAGTTTTCCTGGACTGGAACTTCCGTCTTCCGTGTCGTAACTTTTTTTTAATAAATAATTATTATCTTGCTTTGGAACTTCTGTCTTCCGTGTCCGTAACTTTTTTTAATAAATAATTATTATCTTGCTTTGGCTTCTTTAGTTAGTTTTTAAACATTTAAGAAGTTATCATTCTATAATTCTGTCTATTGTAAATTACCAGGCCGTTCAGGAATACTATCATCTCAAGATAAAAAATGCTGTTATCTATCGTTCCATGACTGATCTAATATTGAAAGCGCCAAGGTCAGCAGCTCCTCAGGATCTGATAGCATTTGATGATGCCTCTGTAGTTGTGATAACAGAGTCGGATCTTGACGGTTATGACACAAGTATTGAATCAAGTACCGTCGGAAGGGAGATATGGGCAGATCTAAGTGTGGTATACCGGGTTCGAGTTGCCGGTAAGGCAGCTTTGGCTAAAATCTCATGCCTATGGCTGCGATGCCATGCCCATCAGAAGATTTCGGATGAGAAGTTGCGCAGGGAGAGCAGGTGCTCAATAACGGCTGACCATCTGGGAGGCATCAGTGTGGACATCCACGTCTACTGAGAGTCTCTGTAACTGCGTATATGTTGTTACGAGTTGTTTTTTTATATGATCTTTACCCCGTACATAAAAATGCATGTAATGATGTTTCACATTAGGCACAACTGAAAGCTGTTGTTTTTCCCCCCTCTTGTAACTGAGTCATTATGTCGTGGAAATGGTACAAGTATCAGCCATTATGAGTTCAAATTATTGATGCATATTGTTAAATTATGTAACGGGATCTAGCAGGTTTTCTGAGGCCGATGCAATACATCAATAGCACGTGCGGCGCAAGAAGTCTTAAAAAAAAAAAAAAAACCAAATAGGTTGTTCATATTTCTTGACAAGCTAGATAAATATGTATTTTCTAGCTTAGTTCACATTATAATAGAAATATTTATGTGCTACGGGTGCCTTTACCAAATTGAAGAAAAGTATAGTGATAACACCAAAAGTCATTGATTTGGAATTTGATTAATCATCCTATTTGATATCTTATAAACAAAAATAGTGATTAGATAGTTTTTAATGAAAGACAATCTTTTATTTTTATTTTTCTTTAGTGTTTACTAAACTTAAAATATTTTAAAGACACCGACTCTAATATTAATTTTTTTGTACTAACTTACGTGGCATAATTTTTTTTATTAGTAATTATTTAAAAGTTTGCTAAATCAATGAATAATGACTAATTACATCTACTAATGAAAAGATGACAACTCTATACTGTGTAAATTGATACAAAATAATTGAAATTAGAGTTGATATCCTTAACACTACTCAAAATAATATTATTATTAATGTAATTTGCTAAAAAGTTCTTTTACACAATTAAATAATATAATAATGACAAAATTACTGAACTTATTTTTAAAAGTGCATGAGTCTAAATTTTTACCTCTTATTTTTGATTAATACCCTTTTAACCACTATAGTATTGATTAAAAAAAATATTAATCAAGTGTAAAGAATAAAAATTAAGAACCATATAATCTAAGGTAGTAGAGAAGAACCTATGATTAGCTTTTCGGAAAATTTCCAAACAAACAATTTCAACGAAATCTTTTAATTTCTTATTTTACTATGTTCAACTTTATGTATTCCTCTATCCGTAGAGTACATTAAATTGTACAGAAATGGCTATAACGGAGTTTCTTTTGGAAATCCTAGCTATTCTTAGCATGACATTAGGGAATCTCATTGCTATTACTCAAACAAGCATGAAACGTATGCTTGCGTATTCGTCCATAGGTCAAATTGGATATGTAATTATTAGAATAATTGTTGGAGACTGCAAGCATGATAACTTAAACTCACTAGGAATAGATTATAAATGTATCTTACTGTAAAAAATAACTCTTTATAGGTCATGACTCAAATGCCCCGCAAACCCAAGTAGTTCACCGATGAAACTCTTGATTGTTGGGGGCAGTCATAAGAAGATGATCCTTCAAGTACCACACTGGATGACAGTTTCTCCTCAACTTCTGGCACTACTTTCTGTCTCTTTCCATGTTCTGAATCTCTTTGATGAGCTCCATACACGCCAACATCTCCACCGTTAATCTTGCCATTCTCCGTAGAATCTACCAAGTATGGCACAACATGTTTCTTCATGTCGCTCTTGGAGATTCCGAGGTGATTCCCCGGAACTGCAATGTACTTGACCCTTCCAGCTTCATCCAAGGCTTTCAATCCAATCCAGTCCTCAATGTAAAGCTTTGTCTGTCACAGAAGCAAGCAGAAGAAAAGTAAGATGCTACTTGTGTTTAGAAGTTGGCACATGCTAAAAGACAAATGCTTGGGGGCTCGAGGCATCGGGTGGGGCCCTGCGCCCCCTAGATATGCTCATTAAAAAATCATGTACAACTATCAAAAAATAAAATAAGATAGAAAACTGGTCGATAAAAATGATATCAGATTAGAGGAATCATACTAATATCCGTTCTCTCTATAAGATGGACCTAATGTGCAATAATTACAGTAAATTGCTTCTAAAGCTTTTTATCCAAATCGGCTGTACACTCCACTATATGGCTCTATGCAGAGATAAGGGAAAGTCACCATAAATACTCTTTCACATTCTCAAATCTTGGTAATTAGACTCAAGATGCAAGTTCAAATATGCGCTTCGGCTACAAACAGCCACACAATTTTCAATTCACCACATTTTTTTTTCACCATGAGACAGACTTTTGAGACAAAAGAATTTAAGTTAAGTAGGACGAAAACTGAATACATGCAGTGTAGGTTTAGTACTCAAGTAATCAGAGTGATGAAATTTCATTAGATGGTGTGAAGATTGAGGCTTCTAGGAAGTTTAGGTACCTTGGGTTTATAGTGCAGTACGAAGGAGATATAGAAGAGGATATTCAACACAGGATTAAAACAGGGTGGGTTAAGTAGAAGAGGATATTTAACATAGGATTAAAGCATTGTGGGTTAAGTAGAAGAATGCTACTAGACTTTTATATGATGGCAAGATGCCTATTAAGTTGAAAGAAAAGTTCTATAGGACTGCAATCCGCTTAGCTATGTTATATGGTAGTGAATGTTGGGCCATTAAGAGACAACATAAATGTAAGATGAATGTGACAGAAATGCGTATGTTAAGATGGATGAGTGGCCATACGAGAATGGATCGCATAAGAAATGAAGTTATTCGTAGTAAAGTAGGTGTAGCACCAATAGAAGATAAGGTGCGCGAATGCCGCTTGAGGTGGTACGAGCATGTCTAACGTAAACCGTTAGAAGCACCAGTTCATGCTTGGGAGGACATTCTTATACCTAATACTAGGAGAGGGAGGGGTAGACCAAGAATTACGTGGACCGAAATAATTAGGAATGACATTCTAGATCTAAGCCTTCAGGAAAGTCTAATTTTGAACAGAGTTGCATGAAAAAGTAAAATCCATATAGCCGACCCCAATTAAGTTGGGATTAAGACTTGTTATTTGTTGTTGTATTGTTGTTCCTTGCATATAAGTGCCAAACCTCGAGACGGATTTTTACCTGTTGTGGAGGTAAGATTGGGTTGTAGGCTCCATCCGGGTAATATCCAAACCAGGAAGTTTCCTTCGGTATCAACACGGTGTCATGCTCAAACTGTCGACGGTACAACATTCAGGACCAGAAATAGATTATCACAACCATATTTGTTTTGACTTTTCCAAGAGAAGCAAATATGTCTAACATACCATGATGAGCACCAAGTTCTGTAAGCTACTGAACCGTTCCTTGTACGTGGAGTTTCTTTTTTCAGGGATTTCGTTGTTAAGCTTTGGAAGAAACTTGCAATGCTCTAAATAGTCGGGAATAGCCTGCATGTTAAAATTTCATTTTGGTTGTTTAGATTTCAGCCATTACAAATAGACAGGAATGTATTGGATCCATGTCATAAACATATATCTTGAAATAGATTATGGCCCAAAGAATAACTAGAAGGAATAAAGCTTTCTTCTTTCTTTTGAAATTTATAGAAGAAATTTAAACAAGCAAATTTATGCCTAATGTAATTATATCAAGGAAAACTACCCACATTTGGTAATTTAAGGTAACCACTGGGAGCCAAATGATCCTGCATTTTCAATAATCAAACTTTAGAAATTTCAGCTGTTTTTATAAATACCCTAACTATATATAGAAGTTAGCAATCTGAAAAACATATATGTATACTTGAATAAAGTCGCTGTAGATCTCTGACTTGATTAGTGTGTCTGCGATTATGCAAAACACACTAGACTGCAAAAGCACAAAAACCATTTCAGGGATGTCAACCAAAGTTAAAAATAGGTAAAAGAAAATGTTTGAACCTACGAGTCCCGCAAGAATTTCTTGTTTATGGTATGAAAAGGCAGATAAGACTTACACCGCAAAGAGGAACAGAAGCCGTACCAGCATGTGGTCCAGCCAAAGAGACAAAGTTCTTTACCTGTTTCAACATTTTGAGAGAGGTGAAATTTTCATTGCAGAACCTCAAGGATTACTTCCTAGGAAAAGGATCACCATTATACGCCTTCCAAATAACATCAAACAGATGAACTAGAACAATTCTGCTTTTGTTATCATAACCATTCATGTAACCAACTGAAAACCAAAACAATAGCTAGAACTGGATCTTACAGGTGGTCCACCATCACAAAACTCCAAAATGCCTCGACCTATCAGATTACCCTGTCAAACCAAATGGATTAAAATGGCAAGTTGAGGACTAGGTTGCAAAAGTTGTTCGAGAATTTAAGCCATGAAAGCAGATTAAATACCATTTCAGAAGTACAAGGATATTAAACAGAAAGGCTTAATTGAACAACCATCCTACATCAGTTTATCTAAGCAATACATCACTCATTTCCAAGGAAAAAAGACTAGAAAGTGGTGGCCTGTTTAGCCTGTAATCAAGTCTAGGATAAAAACATGGCCTTTGTCCACAAAAGCTAACTGACGCCTTCATCCTATTAATTTCTTAATGGATTTCTATGTAGGCTTGCCATAGTTATGAGCAAATAATTATAGTTATGTAATATGATTAGGATAACAATATAGGACTTCCAAATGTGCCAAAAATGTGAAATCTATAAAGCCATCATACATGATTGACTAATTGATGTGAAACAGAAAGATCAAAGCATTATTACTCACTTGGGAGAGACCAACTATGTTATAGCCCTTGCTCAGTTCTTTCATTTCCTTAACCTGTACTTGGTAGTTACCAACATGTTAAAGGTAAGAAAATTTTGAAAAGCGAGGCCAGCAATCTGAGGACAGTGATCCAAGAAGCTTACAACCTTGTTGCAAACAATTTCAGTCTGAAAACATGTAAAAGAAAATTCCAATTAAAAAGGAACAGGACGGTGCATGCTATATATATTTTGGATCCTTCTACGGTAGGACCTCCTACTAGTAGTGCCTGTTTATGACTGTTTGATCCAGTCAAAATCACATAAAAAATAAAAAAGTATGCAAAAAGATAGTTTCTGATACAGATCTGACGGTAAAAAACAGAGAACTACCAATAGTTCATTTTTTCAAGACATACAGTAGAAATCTCCATAATTCCATATATTTTTAGGAGAGAACTTAGATTTTGCTCCAACCTGTTGCTCAAGTGGCAGAAACCAAGAATCCCATGCTCCATTCCCAACTTCTCTGAGAGAAGGAAAACAAATAAAGTAATGTCATAATACATGGAATATATATGCTGAAACATAAAAGAACCCCGAAAATGCATTAAAAAAGATATAGGATTGGTTTTCCACAGATGGCATGTGTACATTATCAAGCATATTCCTGCACTTCTTATTTTCTGATTTGTTTCAGATTTCAGAAATTCTTACAAGACAAATATAGATAATTATAGACATTTGACAATAGATATAAAATAAGAAGTCATTAAAGGTATTTATATTAGAAGAGAAATATTCCGAGCAGGAAAACATATTATTTGAGACAGAAAGCAAAGTTACATGCAAAATCCTTCAGCACCAGAAAATTGGAGAAGTTGCTCGGTGAATTGATTAACTCCTTTGCTGGTGCACTGATCACTAATGCCTGCCATGATCAGGCATTAGAAAATGAAAATTGATACATGTATAGATACAGAAAAATAAAAATACTATAAATGTATTACAACCATATAAGATATCAGTTACATAAGAAGCTAGACATCAGTTGTAAAGATCACAAAGTGTAACAAAACAAACAGAGAAACTAATTCAAAGTTTCTCCAACTGTGCCAAAATTGTTACATTATTTGTTCTATATCCATTTGGTTTCCTTTTTAATCAGGACTTCACTTGACAAAGAATGTGTGACACCGACGGTATCAACACTCTTCCCATAGGATTTATTTTGTTTCCACTTTTATTTTATATAACGCAGGGAATCTTAAAACTTCTTTTAATTTTTCCTTACATTACATTGACACAATGGAAAGGGGGAAGATTTAAAATGCACTAAAGCTTTTCTTTTCCTCTCTTGCTTTCAGTATCTTTCCCTTTTATTTTTTTTTCCTAACTAATGAATCTTCGCGGTCATAATTTGCAGCATACGGAATAAGTGTAACATCATATTCTTCAAAGTTTTCTATTGAACTCAGCAATATGAAACACAAATAATATTCTTGGTTTATATTCACACCAAACTGATCATTATTTAGTCTAATTAAATTAATAAAGCATATTATAATCCGAGTTGCACAGATTAAAATCCTTCCTAAACCCACTTCATAACTCGTCCAAAAGGTGCTTTTAGGAAAACGGATAAATCATAAACTCAAAAACGACAGATTTGAAAAGCAGTAACTCTCATAATAAGAAATTGTTTCGAATTCGAAGTCTAACAACGCTAAAAAATAGGAGCAAAACAACCGCAATTACACGACAGACACTAATAAAACTAATCAGATACAGAAAGAAAAGAAAAATACTCAAATACCCAGACGAAGAAAGATAACCATATGCTCAAAGTCAGATTGATTATGCCAAAAAAACAAAAGAGAGATTATTATTATATTAAAAAGGGGCAGATAAAAACTTAGCCGAAATGAGCAGGGAATAAGAGCTCACCATGGAGTACTATGAAGGGTATGGAATGTAATAATATTGGAAGAGATATGAAGGCCAAGATGAAGATTATCATACTGGATTGAGAGGGAATAATATTACCCATAATCTTTTTTTTTTTTATTCAAGAGATTTGGAATTGGGGAGTAACTTCTTTCCGAGGGAGTTATAACTCTCTCTCTCTCTCTGTTTTTTTTTTCCTCAAGGTTCCAAGAAGGCGCTCAGAACACGGAGACGTAACAGCACTGCTTGTATTTATTAGTCAGCGAAGTCAGCGACTCTGTTTAGTTATTTATTAATTTATTGAGACTTAATGCAGCAATCCATACTAAAATAATTTTCTATAATTAAATTTAATTAAAATCACGTTAAATTAAAAAATAAAAAATTACTGATTTTTTTTTTGTCCTATTAAAGAAATTCGCTTATGTTATTTTTTAGTTTATGTTGAAAACAGTTGCAGCTTTTATAAAAAAAAAGAGAGAAAAAAAAAACACACACTTAGAGTTGCTGACACAAGTTTAGTTTGGTATTGTTTTTTTCTTTTAAAATCAGCTTCTGTTTGTAGATGCTGATTTTAGTATTTAATAAATCTCCTTAAAAGTATTTTTTGAAGAATTTTTTAAGAATTTACAGTCAAAATTAGAAGCAGTCTAAAGATAACTTTAGCTTTTAGATTGTACGGGAATCAATATAATACAATTAATAAAATTTTTATAAAACCCATAATACCCCTAATAAAATTTATAATTTATAATCTTTCCAATATAAAATTCAGACTTGTAATATAATATAATATAATAATAATATTGTAACAAATAATATCATAATTATATTAATAACTATAATATTATTATTTTATCATATAATATGATATTATAATAATATTATAATTATTTTAATAATATGATATTATAATTATAATATGATATTGTAATTATTATTTTATAACATATTATATATTATATTGTATTGATATAATTAAACTTATTATATTAATAATATTACAATAATATTATTACATTATATTATATTGATATAATTATATTTATTATAATATGATAATATAATTATAGGCAAGGTCTGAAATTGGTAACTGAAGAAGACTTTTTCCTTTTTGTGTTTGCCTTTTGGCCTATATTAGAGTCTAGCATTAATTAATTACCATTAATTTCTTGCCAACAGTAGTGTTACTAAGTGGTGTATATGTTAGAAATCACCAAAACTTATTATAGCAACATACTTTTAATTCTGTAGTCGTAATTTCTGTTTGTCATATTTATGGGTAATCTATTTGTATGATAATTATATATATTATATTATAGTATAATATAATATAATCGTTATTTTTAATTATTGTAGTTATTATTTTAATGATATTATTATATGCTATATCATAATTATATAATAATAGTTTTTTTGTATTATATTAAATATAATAATAAATATATATTATGTTGTAATTATATATATTATATTATAGTATAATATAATATAGTCGTAATTTTTAACTATCTACAGCAATTCAACCATATAATTTACTAAACGCTAATACACTTATTTTGAAACTAGCACAACTATTATAATTATAGTTTACCAAACACTCAACTGCTTTTTGTAATAACTGCTTCTTCTTTCAGTACAGCTAAAAATAATTTTTCTAAAATTTACAACACTGCCAAACTAAGTCACAATCAGTTATAGTTTTTCCCGAACTCTCCAATCGCTTCTTTTAGATTGAAGACGATCTTGATCCGTGACTATTAACTTATGGTTTTGTGTTTGAGCCAAAAAAAAAAAAACTTAGTTTTATTGTTTTTTATTTTTATTATTTATTTTTTTACTTGTGATCATCAAACTTTTCTTAATCTTTGTGCTTGGTTTTCATTTTAAAATTCATATAATTGGTTTTTCAAAAACTCCCATTTTTTTAATACTATAGTTGTCATTACGAAAATTTTTCAAGTGACTCACAGAATCACATTGCAACAGAAAAAAATGGCATGAAGAATAACGACTATCAAGAAAATGGGAGTTTAGGGATAAAGAGAAAAGTACGCGGTTTTATAGCTTTTTACAAGCTTAACATTTATGTCATTTTAAATAATTAAGTGCCATTATGAGCTTTTATTTTCTCTCTATTAATTAAATGACAATTATTTATTTTTAAATGAAGTGATATAAATAATATTTTTTTAACACCTTGAGTGTATTTTTGGTTTTTTCCCAATTTTAAAATAGGTACCCAAGTGTGAAAAAATGTGAATTTGGGCCTTGGGGATTCAGTTGTCTAAATTTTGAAAATGGAGATTTAAGTGTAAAAAGTCAAAAAGCTTGGATCCCTAGATGGAAAAAAAAAAAAATCTCTAAAACTAACAAGATTGTTGAATAAAAGATGAAAATGATTATAACAATACTTCAAGTTGTTTAATAGGAGGGGAGAGTTGAAAAAATTGATGATAGGTATCTGTCTAGTTGTTATATTGCTTATTTCACTATATTTGTTAATATTTGTTTAGAGGGGAGCATAGTCTTCTAGATTTACAGTCAGTTTTGAGTGAGAAAGAACATGTTATAGCTAAAAGTTTCAGTGACACCCTGATAAAATTTTAGTAGGCTGCATTTCTTTCACTGCGGCGACCTTTCATTCAACAACGACATGCGTAAAATTTCAATAACGACATACTATCGTCATTGAAGTTTTGTTGTTAAACGTTTTATGTAATGATTGTTGAAAGAATTAGTTTAGGGTTTCAGCATCTACTTCCACCCCGCGTCTCTAATTCCAACCGAACACACTCATAAGAACTAGTTGCGTGCCCATCATATAAAATAGAATTTTACAGAAAGAGTTACATTATATATATATGTAAACGCTATAATTTTCAAGCGTTTCATGTGTATTGAAGAAGGCATTTTTATTCATTATGGTCCAATTTTCATTCCTTAATACAAACGAATTATTTCTATTTGTAGCTCTTAATAAAAATATGACACCAAAAATATAATTGCCAATCTGTCCATATTAGCATATATACCAATATAAAGCATGTGGAAAAAGATGTCCATATTGTTCTTCACTCTAGGAGCCCATCGCTAGGTGGATATGGTTGAAGTCAACTGATCAGTGATGGGGCTATATATTTACTCTTACTTGGCAACTTCTTCCTAGTAATTTGAAAGGGTAAAAAGTTTGATATCTGAGTGATGAAATGAATTGAAAAGAGCATACAAAGCAGCCCCATTACTTGGATGGGCGTGAAACTATGGATGCTAAATGCTTTATATCCGCTTTTGGGTTGAATATCAAGTCATCGAAATCTGTGGATGGTGCTCTTGGGGTAAGTAGGCTCATTGGCATGTTCATTTGCTGCTTCATTGATGGCTTTCATTAGCTGCTTTATTGGACCGTAAGTGTTCTTTTGCACCTAAAGCGACTTTTTCTAAAAATGGCTCCAGGCAGATGCAAAGGAAATAGATGTACACATATGTAATTAACCTTTTCCATTCATTTATGTAACACATGAACTAACTTTTTAACACATTAGCGTTTGGTTCATGGGTTCAAATTATGAGTTGTAATTAATTTGATTTAGCTGATTCAAATGGGTGTTTAGGGGCAAAAGTATGGATGCTATTTGGATTGTAAGCTGATTCAAACGGGTGTTCGGGAGCAAAAGAATGGATGCTATTTAGATTTATTAGGTGATTTAAATGGGTGTCTTTCAAATTCGAATATTTCAAACCTATTTGTTACAGTAAAAACCTTTTTGCATTTTGATTTTTTATTCACTCAGCTCACAAATGCTTGTTTCCATTAACATATATCAAAATATTGCAGGCTCAGATTTTATTTACTATTCAAAATTTATAAATTAATTGTATACCTAAATATCAGTTCAGATTATAACCAATGCATTTTTTAAATTTTATATAATTTAAATCACCTCAATTCGAACACACGAATCAAATAGAAGTAAGCAATAGATTAAACTTGGTATAACTTTCAACACAAACTATTTCCATAGAAAGAAGAAAGTAAAAAGATTTTTCATAATCTTCCCACTCATATATAATAGTGATGCTTTGCAAAATGTGAAGGCTAAGAGTTGTTTGGTTGGAAGGAGGAGAATAAAAGGAGAAGTCTAATATATTATTTAGTTGGTGCCAAGAGGTAGGAGAGGAGGGAAAGGAGAGGATGAGGGATGTAATCTCCTTCCTAACTCATTAAATTGAACTTTCTATTAGTGAAAGAATTCAAGTAATCAATTAACTTTAAATTTCAAAAAGACTATTTTACTCTTCAATAAATTTATTAAAAAATGGACAATATAAGAACTAAACAAATATCTGATATCAATCCTTTTAACTTTCTCGCCCTCTTAACAAAAAACAAAAAAGATTTTTATGATCTTCTCTATTATTCTACAACTCTTTCTGTCCCTCCTACCAAACAGAACCTAAAAGCCTCAAGCACAAATTATGCCCAAACACTTTTATGCCCCCCTTATGTCTTGTGCGCATCTTCTTGTCCTTTATAATTCCTTGCGTCACTTACATTTCTTTGTCTTTTATATTTAGGATTCTAATTCCTAACTCAAATTTTAGTTTATTCCCAATTCCCCAATTTCAACCAATCTACATGTTAGTTTAAAACTCAAAGTAAAAGATAAGGAATATATTGGGGAGACATGACATGCGAAACTGGCCCAAAACACTTTAAGAGTTTAATTTGACCCAAAAGATTAACCTATCGGGTCTTAAGTCATTCCATGTATATAAACCATTTCACATCTCCACCAACTTTCATGCGGGACAATACACACATGCACCTTTCTCAACAATCTCTCCCCTCATGTGTGTGTTCATCAAGCTCCTCCTCGTACTAAAGTTTCTAGTAGCCGGTGCATCTAAGCGTCACACTCTAAACGGGAGCCAACTCGAGCATGGAAAAGAGAGCGAAACTATACGAGTCCACATAATGCTCTACCATCCGCACCTGCAACTGCAACCGAGTGTGATCACTTGACCCGAACGAACGAACCATCGGCTCTGATACCACTTGTTGGGGAGACACCACATGTGAAACTGGGCCAACACACTTCAGGAACCCAACTTAAAGTAAAATGTTAACTTATTAGATCTTAATTCTTTTTATGTATATAAATCATTTCACATCTCTACTCATTTTTCAGGTGGGACAACACACATGCACATTTCTCAACAGCATATATGAGTTACAATGGAATTGTTGCACCATAATATCATAAAGCGGGAAAGTTAGCTTGAAGTAAGGTATAGCTTTAGGGAAAGCAAAAGCTGTCTGATGCGCTTCTTTGCTTCACGTAGATAGTTGAAGAAAAGAACAAAAAATGGAAGATTACAAGAAGAGAACCTGATCAGATCCACGCACTCACACACACACACACACACACACACACATATATATATATATATATTTATAGGCATTTCTGCTCACTCATTCAAAAAGTCTTTTGAGAATTATACAATAATGAATTAGATCTATAGTTCTCTAATAGATACCAAAGATGATTTCATCGAATTCTAGTAGTGAAAAAAGCTTAATCAAACTCATTGATGAACTTATAGAAGAAATCCAAAAAAAATCTAGAAAATCTACTGGCGTCAAAGGCGGCGACACGGTTGCTACTCATGCAGAACGTGACGGCGACAAGGCCGCCCCTGGCAACAAAAGCACTCTTAAAGAAGAAGGAGCCGCCCCCGCCGAAAGTATTGCCAGTACCAATACTGGCGGCGACAAGGTTGGTACCGATAAACCTGGCGGTGACACCGGTAAAAATGAAGGCGGCGGCGCAGAAGCCATCGGAAGTGTCCCCAGTACTAGTACTAGCGGCAAAGCTTTTTGCAAATGGCTAGCTTTTCTGAAGAAGCGTAAGACTAGCACAACTGATGGCCAGAAAAAGGAGGAGGAGCCAACGAAAAGCACCGATGCTCCTCCTCCTCCGCCGTGTGATGATCAAATCCAACGTCTGCATACCAACCTCGTCCAAATGAAAGCCGCAATGGAGAGACTCAACAGCTTCGAGAAGGCATTTCGTCCCAAGGTTGAAGATCACGGGAAACAAATCACCGTACTGCTTGGAACACTGGAAAAATACTTGTCACCACCGCAACTTGGCGGTTCTTCGAAAGATATCGATGTCGGCGACAACGTCAAGGGCATCCAGGAAAGCCTCGACAAGATCAACAAGGAGATGAGGAAGTTGAAGCTCCGGATTCCGTCGTCATCGTCGAAATTAGGCTTGGAGGCGATGAAGAAGAGAAGCGATGAGACAAGTGGTAGTGCTGCATTAATAGGCGGTGAGCTGGATAAGCTGCTGAGCTTAGACGCAAGTGGGAGCTTCAACCAAACCTGTGTCTTTGAAGAAATCAAAGATATTTACGAAGGGTTAGAGGATAAAGCCAAGAAGTGTTTGTTGTGCTTCTCCCTGTTCACCGAGAATGAGGAACTGAAGAAGAGGATGCTGACTTATTGGTGGGAGGGAGAGGGGTTTCTGAGGGCGGATGACGGCGACGGGAAAAAGGCGATTGAGGATGCCGCAGGCGAAATACTGGAGCGGTTCGAGGCCAAAGGGTTGATCGAACCAGTCTTCAAGAAGCGGCAGTCGACCGCCAAGGCTTACCGGATGCAGCCTGTCGTCCGGTCGGCTATCATTAAGTTTGCCGACGAGGAACGTGTGTTCAGTTGCGATGCGAGCGGGAATCTGGCGGTGAAATTGTCTTCGGAGACGACCAAGCAAGGGAAAGCTACCAATTCTTCAAATCAGCCGTCGCAATCGCCGTCATCGTCGTCAAACAAGGAGCAAGAAAAATCGTATCTTGAGGACAAACTGGAGACGATATTCAATGTGAATGAGTCATTTCCTGATCTTGGATTGAAGTCGTTGGCCGGCATTTTTCAAGGCGAAAACCTCAACATAGAGGACCGGTTACTAAAAATGAAAGCTCTCAAAGTTCTCTATCTCGGCACTTGGCGTGCCTCAGGTAAGCAAATTGATGAATCTAACCATTTTTATTCTAGCTGAGGGTGAGGATGGTTTATATTATAGAAGGATATTTAGAACTAATTAACTATTTTATCGCTTATTCTTAATTAATATTTTTTCTCATTAAATAACTAGACAGTATTAGTAAAAAGTATTAATCAAGAATTAAAAATAAAAATCTAGACTCATGCATTTTAAAAGTAAGTTTAACAATTTTCTCTAAAACAATAGTAAATGCATTTACGAGAAGCATGAGTATTTTTTTGATATGAACCGTTTATATAAGTCCTGTTGTGAGATCCACGCGAGTCTCGTTATAACAGATCTTATACTTGCACTACGTACTCAAAAGTGTCGTTAACATTCTTTTTAGAATTAGCATTATGACGACAATTAACTAGAATATGAAAAAAATATCTAATACTTTATATGTATGTATCTTCATATTTTTATTAAGTTTCACTAGGTTTATATGTTTTATTTGTCAGTCTTTTATTAAAAAAGTGTAAATAAAATTCCATTTCTTAAATATAATATATATATATATATATATATATATATATATATCAATTTGATAAACTTTGCTCACATATTGGTGTTTTGTGAGCTAAATGAGGATCTTTAAAAAGGTACACATTAATTAATAAGAAAATTATTTGGTATAAGATAAGAAAAAAATTTCTTTCACAAGACAGTTTTGATGGATCCGATTCCCATCAAATTATGTTAGCTATTATTTTTTTAATATAATTCTGATGTAATTTAATAATTACTCAGAACTATGTCTTACTGTAGTTTTTTTCCCCTACAACCGGCCTACTATAGGATTTTCTTAATTAATATACTAAATATATACTCTATACAAAGAGAATTCTTTATATAATTTCAAAACCATCAAATTTTATTAAGGTTTTATAAATTTATGTTATGTTTTTTTATAAAAACTATATATGTTTTGTTTGGTTATGATTTGATACTTATATGATAATTTAACAATTTAACAATAAGAAACACGTACTATATGTGTGTGTGTGTGTGTAAAGAAATGCATTTATATGTTGTTCCCATTTTTTTCATTTTATTTGTTGTCGCTCTATTACTTATTTATTATATTAGTAACAACTAAATATTAAATGGATTTGAGTAATTAATTAAATGAGGTGTCAAATTAATTGGAGAGATACCCTAGTGAATAAATCTCCTAAAACACTGAATATATATATATATATATATATATATATATATATTATAAAATATA